CTTGCTGTCCAATCGATCTTGGCACTGACATCATTGCCAAGATTTGGTGAGTTCTGTAGATTGTGATCTGGTGGAACTACAGAAGATCGTGATGTTGAGATAGCAGATGATTGTGACGGTGAAGCAGCAGCAGCAGCACACTAAGGAGCCAGGCAGAGAGCTCCAATCCAATAGGACTTTCATCTAGATGCAACAGGAAATGGATGAACATAGCTCTTAATAGTTACACAAGAAGACATTCTATAAAAGTCTGGAAGTGTGTCCTTGATGAGATTATTATCAACATACACTCTATGACAAGGTACCATTGCAACAAAGCATTTCACTATTTTTGACTAGCCAAGCAATTGAAGTTACTAGTGCAGTGTGACGTTCTGCCATAAATACCTTCACTTATAGAGAAAATAAAATGAATGGCTTGAAGGAACTCCATCGGTGATCAAGGAATTTTGGCACGGTAGTAAGTTTTGATAGAGTCCTGGATTTTCTGTCGGGATCCCATTTCTGGATCAATGTCTCCATTGCCAACATGGGCATGGCAAGCAAGAGGTCAATGAATGGCAAAGAAGATTTACAAGAGGAGAAAGTGTAAGTCTTGATCACAAAAGGGACTTTGTTCATTTTTTTTCTTCTTGTTTGTTCTTATTTTCAGGATCCCATGCTTAGTATCGTATCGCTCTAAAGAAGGCCATATAGAGACATTATAAAGAAGCTGGAGAAACTGGAAAAGAGGAATAATGCATGCTATAATTGAACTCATGGGTAAGTCATTCTAAACTTTTATGTTCTCAAAACTTATCTTGCTTTGAGTACTGGGAGAGAAAGAAAACTAGGATATAAATAAAACTAAGCTAAGCTTCTCTTCACTTTTTATTCTCCACAACATGGGGTCACTTTTTTTTTCTCGAGCTTTGATAGTTTTTGCTTGAGTGCTTCATCCCTCCATATAAAGTGTGTAATCCTTTTCAAGCATAATGCCATTTTTTGAATGGAGCATAGGAAATTAATCTTGTGTTTAGCAGCATCATTCTGAGTCTCAAGATTCAAAACTTGAGACTTATGAACAAAAAGAAGTGGTGGTTGCCACAGTAGTTATAGGGGCAAATTAACACTCAAACCTTATCTTTATTTCTTTTGTACTCTGGCCTTCTATATCATTAATACACATTCACATGCTTAAGATCTAAAGTACTTAAGCGATGCCAAACCTAAGATTTCAAATAGCATGCTAAACAATTTACAAAAAAAAAATTAAAAGAACATAAAATATCATTAACTTAAATGTATCACCTAAAGGAAATAACATCATAATCTATTAAAATTAACTTGATCAACATATAAGGAACCAACTCCCCGAGGTGTTAAAGGCTAAAGGATCCCCGGAAAGCATAACCAAAATGATAAAAACTTCATTGGATGAAATTGAGTTTGAGATCGAGTCTGAGAGTGACTCTAAGACCGAGTTCGAGACCGAGTTCGAGATCAAGTCTGAGACCGAGTCCGAGATCGGGTCCAAGACTGAGTCCAAGATTGAGTCCGAGACCAAATCCAAGATCGAGTCTGAGACAAAGTCTGAGGTCAGGTCCGAGATTGAGTCCGAGACCGAGTCCGAGGCTGTTGAGATCGAGTCTCATATTGAGTCCAAGACCGAGTCCGAATACTAATATATGTCATGGGGTGAAAGCCCAAGGCATGTGTCTCCCGGGGGGGGGGCTTGCAAGGGCTTCCAAAAGTATAATAAAGATAGGGATAGTGAGGTCCAAGAATCAGTTTTGAAGGAACTCTCTAATGGTGCTTCCAAACTGATTTGAGGTTGAGATTGGGACTGAAGGGCCTTGGGTGGGAGTGAGCATGGACTCAAGTGGTGTTGGAGGGGCCACTCGAGGAAATGCTTAAGAGCAGTTCCCACTCCCATAAGGGAAATTGACTGCAGTGCTCCTGGCTCAAAATATCTTGTTTTCATTGCCTATCTTTCTTTCCACAGCCCCTTTAATGTTGCATGTTGTATTATGTCTTGTTGCGGCTCATTAATCCTTGCCCTTCCTAGAGGCTTGGGCCTTCCCTTCGGAATGAAAATGGGGGAATAGGGATACCCATACCGGGCCATTAGGCCACGGTGTTTGCCCCTGGTGTCCCGAAGCAAGTGTTGCACCCAAAGCTTGGGTTCCATGATCAAGTTTTGTTGTACCAAGGGATGTTAAAAATTTGGTGGTTTAATGTACTTGGCTACTTGTGCTTGTGAGGAGTGTGATCGAACCTTAAGTCCAATCTAACTCGGGGAGGGGGATTGGAAGAGGTTTGGGAATCCATAGATGGATGGCTAACATTCTATTACTTGTGCAATGAGTAGTTGAAACCAAGTAGGACCAAATAAAAGGTGGTATAATAGGTAGGAACCTTGGCAAGGGAACTTAACTAAGGCCAAGGCAATATTAATTGAATAGATGAGGTAAACTGATAAATTGGAAAGGAAAAATTTATGGCTTACACAACAATTAATAGAACAAAATGAATGCAATAAAACTAACAAATACTTATTCATGTTAACTATCACACTAGCCAATTTGAATAGTCAACAATACAAAAAAACTACAATTGCTTAAACAAATGTTGGCAACATCCTACCAATGTCTCAAACCCAAAAGATTAATCCAAAACAAACTATAAAGAATATATGGTAATGCGGAAAGCCAGAAGGCATTAAAGAGAATAACTAACTATCATGAAAAATCATTAATCATCCCATCAAAAGAGATATGTATAATCATCATCGAAGAAATAATCCACCATTTGAAGAACAACAAATTATTCTATATCAACAATAATTAAGCAAAACCTTTAATAAGGATGATCAACTATCCTAGATGATAGTCAATTATCACCAATGATTGCTAAATGTAAATATTAATTTTAATATTGAAGCTAATGAGCCAAAAATGCCTTCCCCAACAACTTATAACAAATAGAACAATGAGCATAAAACTCATAGAACCAAAACCTCGAAGAAGTTTATAACCATATCTTACTTAACAATGATTATAAGTTTTATATGAACTAATTTCAATATTAAAAAAGAAATCACGGTAAAACCCATAATATCCTTTTTAATATATCCAAAAGTTATACTTTATAATGCCAAAGCTAATGAAGAGCATATTTACATTAATCCAAAAGTTAAGCACAATAAAGTTATGCTGAAAAAGTAACTACCAAACTAATCCTTTATGAATCCATCTTTTATAGCCATGAAATAAGGGAGTTTCAAAATGTTTGTAGCATTTTATAATTGCTCAACAAAAGTTCAAAATGTTCCACTTCCTTTTCATCTTCTAGGTGTAAAGTCTGTAAATACATTTATATATATTATTTATGTTAATTATATTACTATAGCATATAAACTATTTATAATTGGCATTTCCTAAATAGACCCCACGAGATAGAAGACAACAACAGCTCTAGCTAACTAACTTAATAAACTCATCGTGTTTTTTATTGACTCTCTTGCAGGTTTGTGCCAGCTTGATCAGATGCTTGAACACTATCAAACCTTGGCACTGCTAGATGGACTGCATAAATTTATAACATTCTAGGACACGGTGATAGAGAAAAAAATCATTAATCACGGACTTGATCTTTGTTTTTGGCCTTTCCTCTGTTATTCTTTGCTTCGATTGCTGGGAGGCCATCAATATAGATCTTCTCCGAACATATGATTTCTTGAGCCAGGACCCGAGTTAAGCTCGAAAACAAAGGTACCGTAAGAAAAATTAAATTCACACGTCCTTTAAATTCAACACAGCATCAAGAGCAAGGGGTCCGATCTTAGGGGCATCGATGAGGATCAAACACGGGGAGAAGTCCTCTATAGGATGCATTACTGGTGAATGCTCATCTGAACGCACTGGTCTAACATTGAAGTGCAAAGAAGATTTAAATCCCGATAGGGGATAGCTGCAAAATTTCAGCAAAATGGTATGTCTCGAAGTGTAAGAAAAATACTTTCTTGATAAGCCCGGAAGAGAAAAGGGCTTCTAAGACTTGAACCGACGAAACCGTTGCTCTGTCCAGTTGGTCTGGATTCGATAAATCCAACCTTAAGTTCTTCCTCGCCCAGGTAAACATGCTCGGCCCTGCTACCCAATTCCAAATGGGAAATACGAAACTTCAGACAGACATGTGAAGCCAGCAGCCAGTGAAAGTCCTGGTGTGAAGTTTGTCCGTCCTCCACCGAGGACTCAAGAGAGGCAAAGCTATATTCTACGCTTAAAGTTCTGGAAAGAAATAAAGGAAGAAATTTGCCATTGCTTGTTGGCTTTCACGCAGAGTTTCCTGCGCAATGCCCTTCACGACATGAATCCAATCACTCTCAGCAGCTAGAAAGTTACATGTTCGTTTCCACAGTCGCAGATATCTCTGCCCTAGCTACAAACCCGTCCATATGAGCGAAGTTCCACTTTGCCAGCTCAAATCTCTTCCGATGCGTTAGCCTGGCTTTGAAAGAAATCTCAATTGCAAGGAAGCTTCTCTAGCAAAAGCAAAAGCTCAAATCCTGGAAGCGCTGCCGAGGCCGTGGAAAACTTCGATCCTCGGTATACTTTCTGCGCCTGAACGCCTGCGGACAATTGTGGGCAGATCTTCACCGGAATAATTTGCGGCATTTTTGAAAGCACCGAAGTGGTGTTCATGCTGCACGTAGGCACGAGCAAGCATGCAAATCCAAATGTTGCCAGTGACACCCAGCAGCTCTTGCATCCTGGCCCAGAGTTGCTGCCTCTCCTCGTCATACTCCACTCCACCAGCCGAGACGACTGCCTCTCTTATGGCATGACGTATCTCATCCGAGCTCGCTCCCAAGTCCCTCTGCGTGCTTGGAGACTGGACCCACGCCGCAAACGCCTCACAGATTCCTCTGGTGGAGTTGCTAATCGCAACAAAAACCCCTTTCCCACCGCGCGACACGCACTGCGCCCCCCACCTGGTATGCAGCAGTGACTCGCCTGTGACGATCCAAGCAAAAAGGATCACGATTGAGCAAAGAGAAAGGCACTCTGCATAGACTCACAGTCTCGTTTCCACCTCTCACGGTCAACGCTGCCGCCCAAGCAGTCCTCGAGGATCAGCTGCAGCAGCAAACTCGTAAGCGATGGATGGAATCATTGACATGATCAGGAAGAGCTTACGTAAGCTATGTAGAGGATCATGTCGGAAATCCCAGGTCTCCATGTGGCCTCGTTGCGGCTGTCATCGTCGAAACGGTGCCTTCGAAGCGTGTTTTCGGAGCTCGCAGTCCGGAAGAGTCCGTCCCAGGCTGCCTGCTTGATCGCCCCGAATTCTTCTAGAGAGCACGCGGTCAGGCATGGATCCCACTGCACGTTGGCGCAAATCTCCACGAAAAGGCTACCGTAGTCATTGCCAAAGACGGTGGCAGCCGCGTCGCAAAGCTGGCGGCACTCGTCGCTGCTTCCCCGGCTCATCGTAGCCTGGATGTGCTCCACAATCGACTCCGATGATGTCGCTGCCGAGCACAGGGATTTGAGCTCGGCGTGGTCGCGGCGTCCCTTCCTCGTCCGCATCCATGTAGAGATCAGGCGCGCTATCGGCACGCTCACGTCTGCGTACTCCTGGAAGAGCGGCTCCACGCGGTGGAAGTTGTAGTGGCCTTGGATCCACTGCTCGAGCCGGGCACGCATCTGGTTGTCGCATTGGATTTCTCCCGCTGCCATCACCTCCTGCCACACAGAAGCTTGAATGCTCTCTCGAATCAAAACGGTGTCAATCATCATACCTCCAACATCTGGCGCAGAGCGACGGTGATGTCCATGGACTTCCACTCTATCCTGGGCGCGTTCTCGATGCAGGAACGTATCCGTTTGAGCTCGTCCAAGGATGCCGGGGAGGACTTTTCATCCTTCAGCGCTGCTTGTTTGCTCAGGAACAGCAGCAAGAGATTTTCCAGCGGTCCAGCTCCGCCACCGCCACGGTCACCTGCTATAGCTTGTGCTTCGAATGCGTCGAGCCATTCCAGCGGCTGTTTGTTGCTCTGGAGCTGGAGCAACAGCCAGGTGAAGACGACGTCGCAAACCTCGCCGCTCGCATCGAACAGGAGAGCGGCATCAGCAACGCAAGTGGGCGAGAGAGTGCAAGGAAACAATATCGACACGATGGCTGTGGAAAAGGAACCAAGCTCTCAGCTTGAGAGGAATCCAAAGAAGAAGTACGTATAGCTAGCTACCTGACACATGTTCATCTGTGATGACCACTGGGAACGACGATGGCGTCCGATCAGTGGCCTCCTCGAGCTGCAAAAAAGGGAAAACCATAAACTTTGCTACACAATCCAAACAAGCACTCACAAGGTGGAGGTCGGTCAGGGCGTACGTGCAGCGGCCTTTGCAGCACTCGGGGCGGGGATGAGGATTTCTAGATTGCTCTTGATGTGGGCTATGGCGCGTGAAGTAGTCGGCAGGTGCAAGAAGGCATCCGGCACGGTAGCGCCAAGGACGCGTGCGACGGCCACGGTCCAGATCTTCCACTTGAGCTCCGAGACAGTGGAAGTGACGGTGGAGTTGGGCAGGACTTCAAAGAACCACGCACCCGGGGGATGATCCAGCTCCAGCCCAAAGTGAGAGAACGTTGCCCTCACAACCATCAGCAGTCTGGAGCCTATGCCGCTGCGGAACCATTCGGCCACGCGATCGCCAACGCATGGCATCCACCCCACCACTGGAATCAGTTCTTCCATAGCCCTGGCTTCTGTAGAGTTTTTCCTTTATTTACCATCTTCGTCTTCCTCGCATAAACGCACAGTCTCAAAGCAAGGAGAACTTACGTAAATGGCTCTAGCACAGGCGCTTCACTTCGACCGAGATCTCACAGTATAAAACACAAGAGCTTGTCAGGATTTCTATAACCCTCTCTCACCATTTCTCTTACGATCCCCGCGGCTCAGCTCTCCCATATCCAACCGCGCTCGGATCTCTGAGCTCCAAGCATTCTACAATAAACTCGTAACAAGAACAGAAAAATAGATCTTTTCAGTACCTGGTTCGCAATGACCGCCACTTCTCAACACGAAGAAGCTACACCAAACACACTTGAGCACAAGAAGGCTACAAATCTCGTTCTACCGCTTGCTGCTTCTCCTGGAATCGGGTGTGTTAACCGCCAGTTTCGATGGCGATGATTATGAATTTTCATACAACAAAGAAACAAAACTTGAATAGAAAGTACCAGCATCCATCAGAAGATACTGAAACCTGCGGAGCGGAAGGTGATACGTAAGCAAAAGAAGACAGAAAGAAGACTCACGGGGCATGGTTCTCCAAGTGTAACATCCCAAAGAGCCACGCTGCCATTTCTCCACTCGCTGCTAAACCAGAGAGCATAATTTCCTCCTTGGTCTCCAGCACCCACAAAGCTACACACACGAAAAGAGAAGAGTTGGGGGTTCACTCGCTACACACCAAGTGGGAACAAAACCTCTTACCCAGCGCGCTGGCATGCGTTTTCTGCCGCAGGCATTGGCTTTCCACGACTCAAACAGTGTAACGCCTTCGTAGGCCGGGAGCCTGGGGTGGGGGTGGCTACTGCAAGCGGGGAGCTAACGCAGCGGTCACGGGTCTCCATTGGCATTAACCATGTGTCCCAAACGACTGCTTTGTTTGCCGTGGGAGATATCTTCCACAGGAACTGTAAGAAACGGAAGCAACCTGGGAAACAAGCCACATGACCTTGGTTTTGGCTGCAATGGAGGAAGAAATACCTCTCAACGGGGGCCAAGAGGCACCATAGCTCCGGATATCAAATAAGCCGACTGTTCCATCGCCTGGGCCTGTTGAAAGGAATGCATCAGCAAAGGCTAGAGATATATCTGAGTTAACTACCTGTCACAACAACTGTTCCTGCTGCATCAGTTATAAACTGTCCAAAAAAAAAAAGAAAACACGAATCAGAAACTCTCAAGAGTGGAAAACAATGTTGACTACCATGTCATTTGCTGGAAATCTGCAGCACTCAAGGAGAGCATCCACGTCCCAGATCTGAACAATACCCGAGCCATTTTGTGACGAGTAACTTCCGCATATCAGTAGGTTATTGTTAAACTCCAGAGCATCCATGGGAGGCAAATCTTCCTTGGAAAAAAAAACAAAAACCATTACACTTTCAGCATTTTCTACTCGAATAAAAGTATAGTTAGCTCACGTACCTGTTCCGTGAGATTAATTCTGGTACAAGCGTTTCTCTACAAAAGCAGTTGTCGATCGCCTTGACCACTACTTGTTGCCACAAGGCCTGCAAACAACCAAAACCAGCCCAGAAAAGCAAGATCCAAGTGCGTCACGAACAGCAAACCTTACAGGTTTG